GATACAATGGAACTTATAAGTATTGAATTATTACAGGTCTCCTTAAAAGACTTGCATAGTTTAATCCAAAACACAATTATGGTAGCTGTAAAAAGGGCAGTCAAAGAAAATTTTTACCCTACACAAGAGGAAACAGAAATGCTGATGCAACAAACTAAGAAGGAAACAGTTCAGATAGCCTGGAAAGAGGAGGGGAAAAGACATGACTGTGTAGAGGATATAGAGGAAACCTACAATCAAGATGACATGATCCACAGAATGGAGTTTGCACCTATAAAGAGAAACAAAACTTCCACAAATGTTCATCACAGACTTTATAAAAGAACCATCGACGATGAAATTGCCAAATAAGGAGTCACATGTCACCTCAGAGAGACACTTGCATCCACAAACTAAAGATTGAGTACAGATGTTTATACTCAGAAGATTTCTACACTTATAAGGGGAAAAGACACAGAATTAAGACTTTAAAACTTAAGAGGAGAAATCAGAAAATCAAGAAGAGGAAAGAGTACAAAAGGGATGGTAAATTTCTGAGGGAATTTCTGAGATCTTCCAGGGAACAGTCAGGGTTGATTTCTTTTAGGATTGACTGATTTGTTCTTCTTGCAGTCCAAGGGACTCTCAAGAGTCTTCTCCAGCACCATAGTTCAAAAGAATCTGTTCTTCGGCGCTCGGCCTTCCTTATAGTCCAACTCTCGCAGCCATACATGACTACTGGGAATACCATTGCTTTGACCATGCGGACTTTTGTTGGCAGGGTGATGTCTCAACTTTTTATCATGCTGTTTAGGTTCGCCATCGCTTTCCTCCCAAGGAGCAGGCGTCTTTTAATTTCATGGCTGCAGTCACAGTCTGCAGTGATCTGGGATCCCAGGAACGTGAAGTCTGTCACTACTTCCACGACTTCATATTAGTAGAATAAAAGAAACTGTATACCTATATATTTGCGAGCCATGGGTGGTCTCTTATCTGCTGACAGATACTGACTCGACAATCACCACTTCAGTAGCAAAATACTTAGTTATTATAATAGCATTGAAGCGTAAATAATTGCTGCTAAGAGGAGGTGTGCACTTTTTGGTTCTAATTGTTTTTTCAATTTTTTCAGTTTTATGACTGAAATGTCTTATAGTTTTATATTTTAAACCTTTATAGAGTTTAGATTTTAATTGGATTTGAAATGTTAACAGTTTTAAACTCTTATATTGATATTTTACATTGTTCTATTCTGTGCTGTAGACCATTGGTCATGTGAGCTAAATAAATTGATTATATATTTGCAAATATTATATGATAACAGGAGGTGGAAAAATGATATAGATTTAGTTAATGTATGAGGTAGTTTAATAGAGGAAAAGGAAGATCGAAATGTTGTACCCCAATTTTATGTTTGTTATGAAAATAAAAAATTGTTTTTTAAATTTTTTTGAAAACCCTACAATTTTCAAGAAGTCAGGGTTTTTTTATCTATCTCTGCTCTGTAGAATGCCACAGAATGTTGTCCAAAACAAAAGTAATTCATGCTCTATGAAAAGCAACAGGTGCTATATGAGCTACTCTTTTTAATCATCACGTATAAAGATACTTTCTCTATACCATCATATTGGTGCACAGGCGCTCAATGAAAACTGCAAAGGCAGATACTGGAGCAGAGCCTGGTAATATGGGGACTGACATTCACAGCTGCGAAGGAACTCCAAAAACAGAACCCTCTACAGCTCTTGCCTTTTATGGGCCTAAAAGCTGCCTTCTTTGCTTCCTTGGAACTCCGGGGTCCCAAAAGGCATCCACTTTGTTCTACATGCTGAGTACCTGTTCACAGCAAAAATAGGAAGCATTTATTGATTTCTCTCCAGATATTGTTTCAGAGACCTCAATACATTTACTACGTCCTTCTCCTTTGTCCTCATAAGTAGTGTTCAGCCACTTTTATGCCTAAGCGGTTTTTCTCTCCAGTTTAGATACTTAATTTTTCATTGACATTTGTCTTCCTGATCCTTTTTCTTTCCCACTTGATATCCTAATAAAGTGTTAAGTACCAATAAGCTGAGAAGCCACTGATCTCTTATTATTTCCATATGCTTCTTATGCTGGCATGGCCTTTTCCTACTAATCATATCCCACTGCCACATTAACATTTTCTCCTTCCACCCCCAGTTTTCTTCCTGCTCTGGCAGTATTAAATGTCTAACTTTGTCCTCCAAGATCTTCAGTCAGATGCACAATACCAGATTGCCTACAAAGCTACATCTTGCATTACTCAGAGGCAGCTACTGCTACTCTTTGCTTCACCTTGCATACTCAAGGCACAAATGCTTACTTGAGTCCATTTTTAAAAAGTAGAAGATTCTGACCAGAAAGCCTATTTTCCCCAAGAACTGAGAAGTGTAGGAGCTGACTGGGTGTTTAACAGCAAGGAAAAGGCTGCATGTGCTCTGTTACTTCTGATAGTTGGGGACTGTGTCCTGGCATTGAAAACAGACCCTAAGCCTCAGTCAAAGCAAACCTTGCACATATACTGCCAGGCTTGGTCAGATCAGTCTTTATTAAAGCTGCTGCAGTGTAAGTTGCTACGGGTTCAAGAAAAAAGATTATACTAGGTAGCTCTAGGCAAGGCCTTCTTCTTGCACACATGGCTCCCTCTCTGCCATACTGGTCTAACCTAGGGCCAATATATATGTGACCCTGTAACAGACAGAACAGACCTGCTTTGACTTGCAGACTGTACCACCTAGACTCCCCCACCACTTGGACACGCTAGTGCAAGAGGGACCCCCGCAAAAATATCTTTTCAGGCACCACTTCGGTTTTTTTCATTTTGATTTATATGTAGTTGTATATATCCTACATCTTATTTATACTTTCTGTTATATTTGGGACGAAGCATACTTATAACTTTTATAATGACATGAGTTTATTTATTTATTACAAGGTATAACCTTGTTTAAGTTACCTATTCATGGCCATGTCCCCTGTTAACATAGCTCAGGGTAATGGAGGACATAGAGGCGTGGCCCCAGGTTGGAAAGGGGGCTAGGAGCCCTGTCCCTCCTAACAGGCAACCCCCCTCAAAAAAGGCAGGTGGTGGCAGACTGTGTTATCCTAGTGGAAGGAAGAAGTAACCCCCTCTGGGAGTTGACGATGCCATGGAGGGGTGAACAGATCAGGGTCTGCAAGTCAAAGCAGGCCTGTTCCATCACAGACTCCAATGAAACAAAAGATGCATGGGAGTTGCACAGGTCTGTGTTTAAACTGGGCTGCTACCTGTGCAAAGCCACTATACATGCTAATGCCCCAGAGCAACATCCACCCAGGCTACTAGCTTCTGGCATGCTCACTAAGCACACATAACAGCCTAACTTAAACAAGAAGCTATGGGATGGCTAAGTCCAAACACTATATTTAAATTAGCCCTCACAAGGATAATCAAACATTTACTGAGGTCATGCAGTACTGTAAAAGCACTAGGTATTATTATAATATTATCATAAAGCGCCCAACACATTCCAGCCTAATTATCAGGTCATCAGGTCCCTGTCAGAAAATGCAACACAGCTTGGTTAGTTGGACCTCTCATGAGAGCTTCAGTCCTTCAGGCTAGCCCAATCTAGTCAGATCTTGACTGCAAAGCAGGGTTGGCCCTGGTTAGTATTTGGATGGGAGACCACCAAGGATTGCCAGGGTTGTGATGCGGAGGCAGGCAAAGCACCCCTGAACATCTCTTGCTTGAAAGCACCACGGAGTCACTATAAGGCAGCTGTAACTTGACAGCAAAAGAGAGACTAGCCCGCATATATGGCTTTGGCCTAATGCTTTTCAGAACATCTGCAGCCAATCCCCAGGATTCACCTCTCTTCCAACTCATCCTAGCATCACTAAGGGCTGCCCATGACCTCACTCTCCCATCCCTAATCTTATTCAGTTACTAAACGCTCGTCTGACTCTCATCAGCTACCTCTCTCTTCTGCCCCCTCTAGATTCTCCACCTACACTTATCCCCGCCCACAGACCCCCCCATTTCTATCCATAGCCTCACCTCCTAATTTCTCTTTGCCAGAACACTCACTCAACTCACCACCCATCCCAGAACCCACACTTCCCCACCAGTGCTGCTCAGCAGGTGAAAATTCTCTTACACACAGTTAGAATTGATGTTCATGTTCAAGACTATTTGCATCTGGAAAGATACAGGGACTCCAGGACTAACTTGAACATCACCTTAGCGGTTCCCAGTGTGTCCACCAACTATCAAGCAAAAGGATGAGTAGGAAAATGTACTAGTGCCCCCCCCCACCGCCCCACACTGCAGCTTTTGCCTCAAATTGCAATAAAAGTAGTGTTGCCAACCTCCAAGTGGTAGCCGGAGATCTCCTGGAATTATAACTGATCTCCAACAGAGATCAGTTACCCTGGAGAAAATTGTAGTTTTGGAGTGTAGACTCTATAGAATTATACCCCCTCCAAGCTCTCTCCCCTCCCCAGATTCTGCCTTCCCCAGGCTCTATCCCCAAATCTCCAGGGATTTCCCAAACCAGAGCGGGCAACCCTAGATAAAGGAGCCTTCTGGTCCTGTTATATTCACTCTTCCATATACCAGCACCCCGTGAGGGGCAGTTTATATGTCCCAAACCACTGCTACCTGAGGAAGAGAGGGGGGTGTAGGGCGGAAGGTGTGCACATACACACCCCAGTGCAAGGATGTCTGAAAAAAGAATTCTAAAGCCCTGATGATTTTATGCATTGCTAATCTGGCAACGGTGTTCCTCAGCAACGCATCCCTCCCAATTCCTGACCACCCAAGTACTCCCCAGATGGATTCCCCCCCCCCACACACACCCCGGTAGCTTAGTCAAGCATTCATAGCAGCCGGGGGCTCAGTCTGCCTTCGCTCTTCGCCCCACTCTACTTCACCCCGCCCCAAAACAATGGAACTGGCAGCGTAGTCACGAGGCTTTCCTCTTCCTTCTCGCTTCCCCTGTGCAGTAGCGGCCACTTACACGCCTCATCCCCGCCACTCTCCGCGTCACCGTCTGAGAAGGATTCATCCCGGTCTCCATAATCTCCTAGTCCAACGATCTCATTCTCTTCTTCCTCCTCCTCCTCGTCCTCCTCTTCATCTTCCTCCTCCCCACCGTCGTCCTCTTCCTGCTCCTTCAGCTTTCCCGGCACCTGGCTCATCCTACTCCTCTGAAGCGCAGGCAGTCCTGGGAAACTCTCCTACTACCCCCGAATTTCTCCCACAAATATGCCCCTTTGGGACTTCCGCGCAAACGGCTTCCTTTTCTTCTGCCTCCCGCGCCTCCCCCTACTCCCCGCAGTTCTCAAAGGAAAGTCAGCCAAGGCCCCAGCGTCCCTCCCAGAGGAGAAAAACTGCGTGACCCAAGTCACCTGACACACACACACAGAAACACACTCACATAGTGAGTAACATAATAGTATGCGTAGAGAAGCGAGAATCCTGGCACTGAAGGGAGGGGACTTGCCGCGTACAGGGGGGGGGGGGTTTTGTTTTTGCAGATACCACGTGTTACACAGCAGGGAGGGCTTATCGCTAGATTTGCAAAATAAAAAGGATGGATTCTAAGTCTCCCCAAAAGGTACCTTTTCCCACTCCCCCCCCCCCACACACACACATGTAGCCCAGTAGTGGGGGGAAATACTCTGTACAAGATCAAAGGGAACGTAATATATAGTAAAGGGAAGCTCTTTTAACTTCAGTAATTGTGCAGAAATGAACATTTTGGCAGGCGTCTATATGACAAGCTGCACACCAATCTTATTCCCCCTTCAAAGCCACTATTAAAAGTCTGGGAGCCCTCTCATTTCATTACTTTAGTATTTTAACAGATACTGAGTATTAATCCCTAACCATGGTCAACTCACAAGCAGATAAGCAGTGGAATATTCTAGACAGGTATCAGATTTTATCCAACTTTTCTGCCAAAATTGATTCCCAAAGCAGCTTGAATAACAATAAATACAAAATTCAATACCCGTGTTTTTTGAAGAGGGGGAACTCCAGCTAGGATGGATCCGGGCATGGTGGAGGAGGGGCTTGCTACGTTTTGCTTTTCTGTGGCCACATCAATGGAAGCTAGAGGAGGGGGGCTCTAGCAACATTTACACTGCAATCTTGTTTATAGTAATTCAGAAACAAGTCCCACTTTCTTTAATGGGACAAAATTTGAGTCCAGTGGCACCTTTAAGACCAACAAAGTTTTTTTTTCAGATACAATGTGCACACACACAAAAGCTTATACTTTGAATAAAACTTTGTTGGTCTTAAAGGTGCCACTGGACTCAAACTTCGTTCTGCTGCTTCAGACCAACACAGCTATCCACCTGAATCTTTATTCAATGGAATAGACATACTTTACATTTCACATTACAAGAGTTATTCCAATATAAGTTTTCTTAACTTAGAGCGTACTTCGTCAGACACAATGCAGTGGGTCCTCACTAGGCAGATATTTCTATATTTATTTATTTCATGCAGAGGTCATTTCGGGGGGATCGCGGGGGATCGCAGTTCCCCCGGGTGAGGTACAGGGGGCGGGGCACATGATGAAGCCCCGCCCCCTGATTCCGGCCACCCCGCTTTCGGCCCTCATTCAGCCAGGAGGAGGCAGGAGAAGAGGGAGGGTAAGTTGCTTCCTCCCTGCCTCTCCCCACCCCTGCCTGCCTGGGGCCAGGGAGGGCCTTCGTGGGGCTTCCTCGCACTCCCGCCGGCCGGGACCGTTGGGGGCGGGGTGTGTGGCCTTATGGCACACTTCCAGTGATGTCAGGGGGTGTGGCATATGCTAATGAGTTGTGCTAATGAGTTCCCCTAGCTCTTTTTCTACGAAACGACCCGATTTCATGTATATCCTGCCATTCTTTCCAGGGGGGACCCAAAACAGATTACATCAGTCTCCTCTCCCTTGTTTTACCTTCACAACAATTCTGTGAGGTAGGCCAAACTGAGAATGTGTGACTGGCCCAAAGTCATCCAGCAAACTTCCAAGGTAAAGCAGGGGTCTCCCAGATTCTAGTCAAACACTACTATACTACACTGGCAGTCAGTCACTATTCTCTCTCTGAGTAGGAATGAAATAGCAGCATGGTCAAGGGGGTGTGAAATGCAGCAAGTACAGGGTGAGATATAATTATGTATAACTCAAATCAAGAAAGTACAGAGACAACCAACAATAGCAGTGGGCCATTTGTCTAGATTTGATAGCCTAGTTAACAGGTTTTACAGCATGATGTAGTGGTTAGAGTTTCAGACTAGGATCTGGGAAACCCAGGTTTGAATCTCCAATCTACCACGGAAGCTTGCTGCATGACCTTGCACTAGTCACACACTCTTAGCCTTGCTGTTGTAGGGATAAAATGGAGACCAGGAGAACAATGTAAGCCACTTTGGTCCCCACTGCGGAGAAAAGTGGGCTATTAAGTAAGTCAATGAATCAGTAGGAATTAATGTCATTCCTTCTTTGAATACCTTCCCATTTTATGCTCATTTAACTGTTAGTAAGGACTTATTGATTTATTTCATTTGTTTATTTAAACATTTATACTCTGCACTTCTTTCCCTGGGGGGGAGGATGCCCAAGCTAGCTGCACAACTGTGCATAGAGTCTATAAACAGATGTGTGCGTGCACACTCATGAACACGTGTAGATAAAGCTTGCATTCTGCTTTAGTAGATACATGATCCTAGCTCCTCCTCCCTTAAATTACTCTGACTAAAATATGTGAAAAGGCAACAGGGCTATCACACCCAACATTCCATCTCAGATGCAATTTAGTTTTCTCTGTGCTGGAATGCTGGATTCTATTATGAGGAAATTTTCACAGTCCTTGTAATGGTGGTTAGGTGCAAAATGTCTCATGTTCTGCCTTGTCTAGTAATTTGTGTGCCTTCGGCTACATTGTGTACCAGATTTCACCTTTTAGGGTTGCTTGGAACTATTGTAAATTTGGATGTAAACCTCTTCCACTCAGGCAAAGGATTAATCTTCCTTTGCAGACTCTTCTAGTGAGCAACACATCCTGGGCTATGTGTGTGTCAAGTTTCAACTTTTTGGGTGGAATGGAAGTAGTTTAAGCAAGTTCAAAAGGAAGTTTAGTGAGAAGAAGAGTCGGTTTTATGCCCCACCCTTCACTACCCAAAGGAGTCTTGGAGCGGCTTACAATCACCTTCCCTTCCTCTTTCTGTGACACCCTGTAAGGTAGGTGGGGATCAGAGAGCGCTCTGAGAGAATTGTGACTGGCCCAAGGTCACCTAGCTGGCTGCATGTGAAGGAGTGGGGCTTCAAACTCGGTTCTCTAGATTACAGTCTATCGCTCTTTAACCACTACACCACAGTGGGCCCCTAAGAGCCAAAAGAACTATGTGCAGGCTCTGTGAGGGAAATCTGTGGATCACAGGAGGGTTGATCTGCATGACCCCTTTGAGGAAGTATACAATATGAGGATGTCTTGGTTAGGGATGGGCACAAACTGAACCACAAAGCAAAATCTGTCATGAATGTTGCCAGGAGTTATTTCGTAGAAAAAGAGGTGCAGGAACTCATTTGCACAACTCATTTGCATATGCCACACCCCCTGACAAAGGGCAGGCAAGCAAGCATGTCAGGGTTCCCTGCCTGATTGGGGAAGGGAGAGAAATGCATTTAAATCCCCCCCTTCCCTGAGTTTCTCCGCAAAAGTGGAGAGGCTCAGGGGGAGGGGGGGCATGTCTGCCTGCCTCCCCTTCCCTTCTCCTTCTGGGCTGGCTGGAGGAGGGGAGGGCAGGGAGGCAGACATGCCTGTGTTCCCTGCCCGATGTTCTCCAGGTGCCCTGGAGGCACCTAGAGAACATTGGGCAGAGAACCCAGGCATTTAAATCCCCCCTTCCCCTGACTCTTTCTGCATGTCTGCCTGCCTCCCCTTCCCTTGTTCAGTCTGCCCACCATCTGGGGAAGGGAAAGAAAGGCATTTAAATCCCCCCAGGCAGTAGGGGCTCTGCAGGGCTTCCCTGGTTTGTCCGCCTGTGCAGGCGGGCCAGAAATTGTGGGGGACACCCTGGGCTCCTTTCTGTTGGAGCACCGCTCCACAGCACTCCGGCAAGAAATAACCCCTGAATGTTGCCCTGTTCGTGGTTCGCAAACCAAAGTTCATGACGGGTCTACCGTCACAGATTTCCACAAACTTTTAAAGCAGTTTGTGGTGGTTCGTGGATACAGCAGAAAGCATGGGTTTGAAGGAGCTGAGTCCCTTCAAACCCCTGCTTTCTGTTCCCCACAAAAGCTTCAAAAACAGCTGAGCAGTAGGGAGCAGGCTGCTCCCTGTCACTCTGCTGTTTTCAGGCTTTCTGCAAACCCTGTTTAAAGGGACTGGGGTCCCTTTCAACAGGGTTTGCAGGACCACAACTATGAACCAGTTCGGTTCAGCTTGTGATTCAGTTCACGGTTTAGCCATGATCCTCAAACTGACATGAACCACATTTTCCTGGTTTGTGCCCATCTCTAGTCTGGGTAAGGGGACACCAGCTATCTGTGGTAGGATTGTGGCTATAGCTGCTATCTGGCAACAAAGGGTAGATACTTTTAGCTTCTGATGGATCCCTCAAGTAGGAAGGACAACCAGTGGCCCAGGCCAGGGTTGAAGGGATTGACATGCTTGCATTGGCACCACCTCATGAAGGCTTTCCAAGTAGCATTGTGAAGGCCTTCCTGGAGGCCATGATGATCACTGTGACCTCTGAGGAGTGGCCTAGGTTCAGGAACCCATTCCTTTCAAGACCCACATGGCCAGATGGAGCCACTCTGTATCCGGGTGCCAAACTGGACCCTGCTGCAACATGTCTGGGCTCACTGGACTCTTCCAAGGGGCCTTTACTGAGAGCTCTACTAAGAATGGAAATCATGGCCTGCGAGCCCAATCTGGAGCCACAAAGATCACTTCTGCCTCCTCCTGAAATATCTTACATAGACTTTTGGGATCATTAGGAGTGGCAGAAAGGCATACAGTAGACCCTTGAGCCATGGTGAGGTTAGAGCATCTGCTTGTTCTGACCAAGGGTGATGGTATCTGGAGAAATCATGATGCTTGATGTTGGATGCTGAGGCAAACAGATCTACCTCCAGAGTCCAAAATCTGGCTGGAATTTGTAGGAAGATCTCCTGTTTGATGGACTAATTGTTTTCATTGATGGTCTGTCTGCTCAGCCAGTCTGCCTGGATGTTTAGGGAACCTTGGATGTGTTCTGTTGAGATGGACTGTAGATGTTTCTTCATCCAGGAAAGGATGAATTAGGTCTCTGTAGGGTGGATGACCTGGAACCCTACTGCTTGTTGTGGTTCTTGGCTGAAATATTGTCCATCCTGATAAGCACATACTGGCCCCTGAC